TCATAAGAAGCAGGGGCACCATCCTGAGCATAAGCACCAACTGATATAGCATATATACTCTGGGAATAACCATCAGCTGAACAAGAGTCAAGTAGAAGTCCTCCTCCATTTCCAGCAGCAAATGTAAAGATGTTTCCTTTCCCATTCCTTCCCTAATATAATGCATTATCATTTCATTGGAATATTCTTTCCAATCACTATACCATTTCAGCTCCTTCTTTCAATGCTAGTGATGCCAGGTATTTTGGTCCATCAACTGTAACACTAGTATCAGGTGGTCCCCAACTGTTACTATAAATATCAATATTGTTACGAAAATAACTGAGAGCAGATGAATCAGTTAAATCTGTTGTAGTATCCCCCAACAAACGAAGACCTGTAATAATATAGGCAATAAATGGATAAAGTATAATTCCCCTTACCTGCCATAGAGGCATTATAAGCTACACCCACTCCACAAACATTATTATCACGTGCCATGACAATTTCACCAGCACAAGCAGTTCCATGGGAATCTGTTCCAACAGGAGATGGGTCACTAACATTAGCATTAAAATCATAACTGTATGCTGACACCTACAAGTACATTAACATAAAGAGAGAAGGGGGGCAAAATTAGAATATATAGGCTAAACAAAATATATCTTTATTAAAGCAAAACTAACCATGTGTGTGGGTAAAATTTAATATTTAGTGCTAATTAGACTATTATATACATGTAAATAACATAACTAAGATCCCCCACTTACATAATTATTCCTTAGGTCAGCATGAGTATGCTGTACTCCTACATAATAATGTCTAATGTGATTACAAGAACAATAATCATCTTACCATCATCCACGACACCAACTAATATTCCAATTCCAGTATATCCTTGTATCCATGCTGGTTCTGCATTCAGATCAAGGTAAAGGTTTGTCTCATTAGTCTGACCAGTATTGTTCTACAATAAAAAATCCAGCTCTCAATAATCTTGGTCAACTTTTACTCCAATTGATAATACACAATCTATTTTATTCATGATACTTCACTCCAACTGATACTAGTATCTATTATACTATTTACAATGTTACTTACAACTGTCCACTGACTGCACCACAGTGGATCTGCCTGACATGTTGGTTGAATATACTTTTTTTCCCATTTGTGCAGATTCTGCTGCTGTACATACCCTACCTGCGTGATGTAAGACATAGTTGTACTCTGATACATTAGATGTTTGTACTCATGTATAAAAAAAGATATTCATTATTAATAAACAAGAGATAACAATAATCATAATGCATGATGTAAGAGGTTACACTTTGATCTATGTACTAATGAAGTATATTTCAATAAGAAGGGTACAAAGTTGCTACAAAGACATGCACTTTCCAACGAAATGAGAGTCATGAGAAAAAGAAAAAGGAAATTTAAAAAGAGGAGATTAACAAACTAATGAGCACAATAAATGAACATAAAAAATGCCAATAAAATATTGCCAATAAGCACAATAAGATCATAAGTACTTGTATGAGATTTTACACAAAAATAATGCAAAAATTACCAGAGGCGTATTTAGGGGGGGGGGG